AGCTTTGCCACTGGGCTTGCTGTGGGTTCCTGTAGTCTCTGGAGCACAAACCAGTCATCATTTCCCCTTTTGGCTAACTTTCAGGCAAAAAGCAACCATGGTCCTGCCCCTACTCCCAGAGCAGTTGCTGGTATTTTAACTTCTTAGTTCTGACTCCATCAGTGTTGTGATATTAAGCAAATTGTCCACTGCATCCCAGTCTTCTGGGGTAAAGAGAGGTAAGCACCACCGTGCCCAGGTCTGCAGGAGATGAGCAATGATGACACAGCAGTGGCTCTGACAGTGGTAGGAAATGACCACCTGCTGAACACCTGCTCCAGAGAACAGAGGTCAGGGACTTGATGGACCCCTCCATCAGTGTACTTTATTAACTACTGCAGTGGGGTCTTGAGCAGGGCTGTGGTCATTCAGAAGGGATCAGGGACTGTCTGAGCAGGGCCAGGAAGGGTTTGAGGGCCATGGTATAACACCAGCAAATGAGCCCTCCCTGCTGCTCACTCCTCCCCAGGCCACAGGAGCGCAAAGTTCTGTCCCCAGGACTTAGATGAGCAGTCATTTCTGCATGACTAAATGTTGATGGAAATGATGCCCTTCTTGCTTTTTAAAGTATTATTTATTGAAGTCACATGAGAGAGGAGGCTGAATGTCAAGTGCGAGAAACTCCAACCCAGGAACTGCCTGTCCCACTGTGCCTGCCACTGATTCCTAAATGGGAACAGGTTGTGTGCTGTTTGCTCCACACTGTGTTAAAAACTTAAGTTTTAGAAGTGATACTTTTAAATCACTTAATATCATATAAATACTAGCTTCTCAGCGGGGCACCCGTGGCTCACAACTGCAATCCTAGCTACTCGAGAAGCTGAGATTGGGATGATCAAAGTTTGAGGCCAGCCAGGCAAATAGTTGGTGAGACCCCCCTCCTCCCATGTTCAAAGTAACCAGAGCAAAATGGGCTGCAGGTGTGGCTCAAGCAGGAGCGCACCTGCTTTGCAAGAGTGAAGCCCTGAGTTCAAACTTGAGTCAAAACAAAACAACAACAACAACAACAAAAGCTTCTCTTGACCAGGATCATATGGGGAAATAAAGGTCTCAGTTTGTACCTGGTAGTGGCTGGTGATGTGGCCTCAGTTTACCCCAGTCCCCACATGCCTGCTATACTCATGTCTGCTGCCTGCTCAACCCTGGTCAGCGGTCAGACCTGTGTTGGCTGTATTTTCTGATTAAGGAGAGGAGACGGGAGGCTGCGGATGGATCCCAATCTTGCAAGGTAGCATTAGGACAAGCTGGCTCCTCGGTGGGAGCCCAGCAGCTTCCTGTCTCTTAACACGCGTGCAGTTGTGCTTGGCGTGCCCCACTTGACAGGAGTGTAAGCCTTCGCAGCGTGATCTGGCGTGTTTCTCAAGCACACTGCCCCAGTTAGGAAAGGAAGTTAATAAAACTTGCAACAGCTGGTTTATTGCTGATCCACAGATGACGAGGAAACCCTTTCATGGAAGGACCAGGCCAAGGTCTTCAGGAGGGCACTTAGGAGGGAAAGTGGGGCTCTGCCCTTGTCATCGCTTCCTTCAACCCAAGCAAAGATCCCAGCTCCCACCCTGCTTTGCTCTGGTTCACATCTCACCTAACAAGGCTTCTGTTTCTGCTGGTGCCGTGACCCCCAGAGATTCTGACCTGTCCCCCACCTCCTCTGAGACCTTGACTCAGGCTGAGAACAGTGAGGCTCAAGGCCTTGAAATCCTTCCCTGATCTGGGCTGCACAACAGTCCTTTTAATGGGAGCTTAGCATGCCAGAATAAGGAGCCTCGTGGTGGCCTCTCGGCTGGAAAGGAGGGCACCCTCAGATGTACCCTTCCTAGGAGTCTGGAGGTTTTCCATGTTCTGTGAGAAAGCCAGTCTGAATTCATATTGACTGTTTTGAAATCCAGGGTGGAAGGTGGAGGCTAATGGTCCCCACGGGGCATTTCTCTTTCAGGAAGTAGCACTTAGCCAAGGTGACACCAGCACTTGGAAGGGCTGACTGTGGCCCACAGCTTGTGGCATGTGCAGAGCTGCCCTGGTGATGGGGTGGAGCTTGGGGAGAGCCCTGATGGAGTACAGTGCTGGGGTGGGCGCACTGCCATGGGACTCCCCAGAAAGGTGACTCTCCTTACCTTCACCGCCCTCAATGGGAAAGAAATCGCTAGAAAAATCGCAGGCATGTAGAATTTCTGTGCAGATGGTCCCTGACTTATGATTGACTTAGGGTTTTTTCCAGTTTTATACTGGTGCAAAAGCAGTATGCAGATAGTGGAAACCATGCTTATAAAGTTTGAATTGTGATCTCTCCCCCTTCCTAGCTACCGATGTGCAGGCTGTGATCCCCCGTGCTGGCCAGTGGCAGGGGGCGTGGTCACGAGGAGGAGCAATAGACCCCTCCCCACTGTGCTGGCGCAGGGAGGCCAGTGGGCCAGGTGTATTAAATGCATTTCCTCTCAGCGTTTTCAAGCTGGGATAGGGTGTCACAATTCCAACGGAGTTGAGCCTCCTGTGCACCCATTTCCCAGCATCTACCCTCATTGTCCCTCAACCGTCCCCAAAAACTTACCTCCTTTTCCCCCTTGAAAATTAAGCTTTATAAGAAGAAAGTAGGGGGGCGTACTTTTTCTTTTATCTCATGTAGGCTTCTTGCCTGTGGACTTGGATTGGGATAAAATGACGACTTCCTCAGAAGCCTTTCTCTATCTGTGGCGGGAACCTGATATTTCAAAATGAAGCAAAGTTATTATGTCTGTCCAGTTCTGCAGGTCAGAGGTCTGATCCCAAAGGATAGTACTGCTCCCGCAGGCTCTGGGGACAGTCTGTCTGTTCCTTCCTTTTCCATGTTCTCCAGGCTGTCCACATTCTTTGCCTATTGATGTCTCCTTCCTCTATCTTCAGAGTCTCTAACTTGCCACAGCCCAAAAAGGTTCCCCTTGAGGACTGGTGTGGCTGTGGCTTTCCTGAGACACCTGGGATAATCTCCTCAGTTTAAGATTCTTCCTCATTTTTTTTTTTTTCTTGATGGTACTGGGAGTTTGAACTCAGGGCTTTGCGCTTGCTGTGCCAGTGCTCTACCACTTGAGCTATGCCCCCAGCCCTTTTTGCTTTAGTTATTTTTCAAGTAGGGGTTCCCACTTTTTGCCCAGGCTGGCTTCAGATCACAATTGCCCCATCACATCTGGTCTGTTTGTTGAGATGGATGGGGTCTGCTAACTTTTTGCCTGGGCTGGCCTTGAACCTTGATCTCTCCTGATAACTGGGATTACAGGCATGATCCACCATACCCTCCCAGGTTCTTACTCTTAATCCCATCCGCAAAGTCCACTTTACCAGAGAGATGACATAATCCCAGGCTCTAGGTTGTGGACCTCTTTGGGAGACATTCTTTTGCCTTCGTCATTTCCCCTCATCTTTCTGATGGTGATAGGGGTTGGGCCGTGCCCACAGAGGATGTGTTAAGTGTACACACCTTCTTGCAGGTCTGTGTGGTTCAGGAAGGGGCATCTGGCTGATCCAGCATTGGTGCTATCCCTTGGGCCTCTTAACCAGGGTCAGCTAGACCTGGGAGTAGATTCTGTCTCTGCCTGACTCTGCAGTTTCAGTGTCTGTCCCTCACATGGAGCTGTGAGGGACATCTCATTCCTACCTCTGAGGAGTGAGGAGGACCCTGCCCCTCAGTCCATCTGGACGGGACAGGCTCTTCATGCTGGCTCATGCTAGTGGCCTCCCTTCTGCATGGTAGGGGCAAAGGGACTGTCTGGCTCCCCTTCCCTGTCCTCACGTTTCCTTTCTGCCTCTCCTATTTCCATCTTTTCCTGGAGACCCAGGCTGCGCCCTCTGCAAACATCTCTCCCCCATGAACTTTTAAGACATGCAAACTGGTTGCTTACATTGAAGTCAGGAGAGCCTAGGGACTAGTCCAGACTTCTGGTTTTTCCTGAGGAACTGGAAGCTCTGGTCAGCAGGGTGAGTTCCTACAGGGCATTTCCCTCTACCAGAGCGTCATGGAGGCTGCCCCTTCAGGTGGGGGCGTGGGTTCCCTTTTGCCATAGTCCCCAGCTGGCTGTCTTCACCCATTTCCCTGGCCATTCTGACCCATTTCTTAGAGTTCAAAGCTGTGTGCCTCTGATCTGAAGTGTAACAGGCCTGGACGAGGCTGTGAGAAGGTTTCTACTACAGACCTAAATGATTGTTCTGGAAACGCAATGTCTTGGTGGGTGAACTTTGCCCCAGGCAGATCCCAGTGCCCCTGCCCCTTCCTTGGGCAACTCCACTAACTTCTCTGAGCCTCTATTTCCCTGCTCAGGTAGAGCAGTCTTCTCAGCTTTGGCACTTGAAGTTAAGGCTGGAGGGTTCTTTGTTGCAGTAGCTGTTCTGGGCAGTGTAGGATGTCTCTTAATAGTGACTCTGTCTGCTGTTCACTTGATGCAGATGGTACCCCTTCCTAGTTGTGACAATCACAAATGCCCCTGACATTGTGCAAGTTCCCCAAGGGAACAATGGCCTGTTGAGGACCAGTGTCCAGTCTCCCCCAGTGGAGTCTGCATGAGGCTGAGGAGAGCCCACTGGTGAAGCATCCAGAGCGTCCTGTCTCTGTGGATTGGGGGCTTGGTGCAGATTCTTCCAGAAGTGGTTGGGATAGCGCAGCCCCTGCCACACATGACTGTCCTCTCTGCCATGCCTGTGGTGTGTAGACCGCTTTGGAGCTTGAAAGACCAGATGAATTACATTCTAGAGGGGCCGCTGTTGTCTGTGGCCGTACCACCCTGAACGCGCCCGATCTCGTCTGACCTCAGAAGCTAAGCAGGGTCGGGCCCTGTTAGTACTTGGACCGGAGGGGCCCCTGTGAGTATGGACATGCTCATAGGTGGAAGTGCCGCCAGTGTCACAGGTGGGACCACCACCTGCCTCTGCCTCCTCTTCTGCCTTGGTGTTCCTGTGCCTGTCTGTGTGTCTGACCTCTAGTCCGGTGTTTTGCTTAGGTGGCTCTGGTGCAGTGGACGGAAAGTGTGGGCTTAACCCTGGTGGGGCGAGACCAGTCCTCCATGCAGCTGAGGACCCCTGGTGGCCAGATCCTGAATTTCACCATCCTGCAGATCTTCCCCTTCACCTACGAGAGCAAGCGTATGGGTGTCATCGTGCGGGTGAGTCGCAGCCAACCTGTTCCTTTCCAACCCTCTTCATGGTGTCTGTCACTCAGACTGCAAGGGGACTAATCCCTGAGTGACAAGGACATGAGTTCTTCCAGTAGGCAGATCCCAGATGGGCAGTCAGCGTATGGTGAGCCTGTGTGCACCAAAGTTCTAATGAAGGAGGGTGGGCAGTCTTAGTAGCATGTTTAACTGTGTGTTTGTCTGTCTGTAGGTCTGTGTATATTTTTTGCTCTGTTAGGCATTGAACTCAAGGCCTTGTGCATGCTAGGCAAGCTGTCTCTCTAGCCCCCATATTTTTTATTGAGATAAGAGTCACATAATATAAAATAACCATTTTAAAGTGAACGGTTCAATGGCCCTCTGCCAAGTTTCAAGACAGACTATCACTTCAAGAGAAAACCCTGCACCTGTACTCCAGCTCCCAGCAACCACGTCTGCCTTCTGTCCCCACGGTTTTACGTCTCCCACACACTTCTTATAAAATGAAGTTGTTAAGTGACTTTGTTTCTGACTTCTTTACCTTAGCATGCTTTCAAGGTTCACCCATGTCATAGTGTCAGTGTTCCATTCAGCATTTCACTAGTATTTCATTCTTTTTATGGCTGACCAGTATTCCATTGTTTGCATATACAGGTTGAGTATCCCTTATTCAAAATGCCTGAGACCAGAAGTGGTGTTTGGATTTAGGAATGTTTTTGGATTTTAAGATGTTTGCATGTACCCAGTGAGCTATCTTGGGGATGATACCCAAATCCAAACCCAAATTTTTTCATGTTTCGTGTACACATTCTGCCGTATTTTTAGTGTGCTTGCATTTTGGTCATAACTTGTCACTTGAGGTTGGGGGTGGAGTTTTCCACTTGTGGCATCACAGTGGCTCTCAACGTTTTGAGGTTTGGAGTTCAGATTGGAGTGCTCATCTTGAACCACCATCTCTGTCCCCATTGGTGGACATTTGTGTCATTTCCACCTGTTAGCTCTGGCGAACAGTACTGCTGTGAACTTTCATGGACACAGGTCTGATGGCCGCTTTTAGTTCTGTGGGGCACACGCGTAGGAGGGGACACGCGTAGGAGGAGTCCTTTGGGTCCTTGACTGCCTCTCACCTTACTCCCAGTTTCTTCACATGTCACCAACACTTGGTATACTTCATGTCTTTGATCCTGCCATCTTTGTAGTATGAAGTTGTTTTCAGTTACGGTTTTGATTTGCATTTCCTACTGACTAGTGATATTGTGTAGCTTTTTGTATGTTTGAGGCCATTGGTGTATCCTTTATGGGGAAATGTCTGTTCAAGTCCTTTGCCATTTTTTTTTTTTTTGAAGATAGGGTCTTGCTGTGTAGCCCAGGCTGGTCTCAAACTCCGTTCTCTTGCCTATGCCTCCCGAGTGCTGCAGTGACATTTTCACACACATTCTTTGCCTGTTTTCTAACTGGGTTGTCTTTTTGATGCTGAGTTGTAAGCGTTCTTTATTTACTCTGGATACTAGTCCTTTATCCGGCATATGATTTGCACATCTCTCCTTCTGTAGATGGCCTTTTTTGTTGTTGTTTTGGTACTGGGACTTGAGCTCAGGGTCTTCCACTTGCTGAGTGGGCGCTCTCCCGTTTGAACCACGCCTTGGCCCAGTCTTTTCACTTTGTTGACAATGTCCTTGATACACCAGGTTTCCAGTTTTGATGAAGTCCAGGTTTCCTGTTCTTGTTGTTTCTCTTGACTTGGGCATCATGTCTAAGAATCCATTTCTAGCTCCAGTTTATGAGGGTGCACCTGTATGTTTTCCTCTGAGTTTTGCGATTTTAGTGTATGAGGTCACTAATCCATTTTGAGTTCACCTTTACACGTGAGGTGAGGTACAGGTTCAACTTTGTTCTTTGGCGTGTGGATATCCTGTTGTTCCAGAGTCATTCATTGAAGACACTATGATTTCCTCTTTGACTGTTCTTGCCACCCTGTTTTAATTAAATATTAAATTTTTTTTTTACCATCATTAAGTTAGGGGAAAGTAGTGATCCCTCAGCAGCATCATTTTGCCGTAATTAAAATTTTTCAGACTTTCTTCTTTTATCTATTTTTTTGTTTTGTTTTGTTTTGGCAGTCCTGGGGTTTGAACTCAGGGTCTTATACTTGGTAGGCAGGCACTCTACCACTGAGCCACTCTACCAGCTCTTCTTTTATTTTTTTGAAACTTTTATTGACAAGCAGCTATCAAAGAATATATTTTCTATTTATTTATTTTTCTATGTATGTATCTATTTTTTTACTTTTTGCAGTACTGGGGTTTGAACTCAGGGCTTCATGCTTCCCAGGCAGGCGTTCTACTGCTTGAGCCACTCTGCCAGTCCCCAAAGGATATTTAAAAAACAAAACAAAACAAAACAGCTCCCAGCTTTTTCTCACCCTCTTAGACTTTCAGTGGCTCTTAAGACTTTCAGTGGCCGCCTTCTTGAACATGTCAGTTGTGGTGTTGGACCCTGAGGGAGCTGGGGGCAGGAAGAGGTGGTTCTGTCATGGCTTCGGAATGGCGGAGGGCCGATAGACTAGTCATGATGGTAACAGCTAAATGGGGCCTTATGGGCCAGTGGCTGTTCTAAGTGGTTTGTGCAGGTGATCTCCTGTGATTCTCACCATTAACCAGATAGGTGGGTACCATTTATGATTAACATTGACAGAGGAAATTGAGGGATAGGGAGACCTATCCATGTTCACACAGCCAGGGATTTGCCAGACTGTCTGGCTCTCTAGTAAACGCTCCTTACCTCTAGGACCTGGGGTTTTGGTGTTGACAGACAGGGCACCTGCTGGGGTAAGGCATAACTTCTGCATTGCTCTGTAACATTTTCCTACATTTAGTGACTTAAAACAACATTGTTCGAGCTAGGCACCAGTGGCTTATGCCTGTAATTCTAGCTACTTAATAGGCTGAGATCAGGAGGATCGTGTCAGCCCAGACAAACAGTTCACCAGGCCTCCATCCCCAAAACAACCAGAGCAAAATGGACTGGAGGTGTGGCTCAAGTGATAGAGTACCTGCTTTGTAAGACCAAAACTCTGAGTTCAAACCCCAGTCCCACCAAAAAAAACCCAAAAAACCCCCCAATGTTTGTATTATCTGACACTTTCTGGGTCCCAGATTAGCTTGGTGGGGTCCTCTGGCTCTGGGTTTCTCAAGCTAGAATCAGGTTTGTTGCCAGGGGCTGCTGTTGCTAAGTTCTCCTGGGGCTGGATCCAGGGCAGGTGTGTTCAGTTCCCTGGGCTGTTGGAGCAAGGGCCTTCATTCTTTACTGGCTGCTGGCCAGAGGCTTCAGAGACCTCTTGCAGAGGTCTGACCCTTCTGCAAGGGGAGTGGCTGACACCAGGGCAGGAATGGCGGGGGGTGGGAGGGAGTATGTACTGAAGGCCCAGTGAGATGCAGTGTGAGCAGCCTTCAAGAGTCCCATTTGAAGGACTTTTTCTAATCCATGTGCCAGTAGGGACTTTCCAACTGCAGGACCCGTGCCATTGGCAATTTCCAAAGGGAGAGGAAGCTTTTCCTCCCACACAGCTGCTGCTTTTCCCACGGGTCCACACCTGGCCTGAGTGTGACTCCTAAATAGAATCTTGAGCATACAGCTGAGGTCATGGTTATCAGCGACATCCATCGTGTGTGTGTGTGTGTGTGTGTGTGTGTGTGTGTGTGTGTTTCCTAGGGAGTTAGAGAAACCATCTCCTAAAGGGCCACTCCAATTTTATCGCAGCGTTTATTTTTCAAGTTCTGGGACCGTGGACTCTGCTGAGATCATCATTCGACAGTCCCCCACACTGTCCTGTTTAGAATAAGTGAGCCACACACCCCAGCCTTCATTTAGCTCTGAAGGACTCTCTTCCCAGACACAGGTCGTATTTTGTTACAGTGGCTCCTATGTCGTCCCACAGCAGAAGACAGGGGCTCTGGACAAGTCCGCTTTTGCTTACAAGTAGCACACTGCTGCCTAGATCATTTTTAAAAAGTAAGCATTCACAGTTAAAGTACTTGGAACAAATAAATATGTGAAGAAGAGAATCAGAACTAATCATCTCCGTCTCTGTCACCAAAGACAGCCATTGTACTTGTGAGGGGAGTTCTGCTCAGTCTTTTTTTCTGATCATTTATGGGTGTAAATATCCACATGAGTTTTTGTAAAATTGATCTCAAACTTAGCATGGAGCTAAGCTTTCCCTCCCTGCATGGAGCCACATATACACATCTATGTGCATATATGGTGGAAATTGTCTTAAGTTATTAAAATGTGGCATTAATGGTTTGTTGTTTCGGTACTGGGGATAGAAGCCAAGACCTTGTATATTCTAGGCAAGGGATCTACCACGGAGCTACATCCCTGGCTCAGTTTTAATGATTTTAATGTGTGCATGGTGGAATATACCCCATTTTGTTCATTTCTCTCCTTCTGGATGCTTAGGCTGTTTCTCACTTGACTACTAAAGTTAACACTGTGACCATCCCCCTTTGCAAGGCTTTCTTTAGTGAACTACTTAGTATGCTGATTTTCCCTTTTTTTTGCCTGTCTCCCTGTCTTTGGTTTGGATGGTGGAAATAAGGGCTTTGGGACCAGTTCTACACTTGGTACAAATCTCATTACACTTCAGCACAGCAGTGCTCTTCCTGGGGCACTGGAAAATGGAGACATTTGTGGTTGTCACAAACTCAGGTGGGGGCTGCTACTGGCATGTGGCAGGCATGCAGAGACCAGGGTGCTGCTCTATATCCTATAATGAATGATGACAAAGAATGATCTGGTCCCACTTGCTAGTTGTGCTGTGCAGGCTAAGAATGCCCGTTCTCTTGTGTTCTTCCAACCTGCCTGTTGTGTGCAAAAGATGTCCCTTTACCTGAGTTGGGGAGGTTTTAGTTGAGGTGCAAACCTTTTCTTCACTTGCTTTAGCTAAAGGCTGTTGAGTTATTGCTCTACTCTGGCCTATCTGTTTAAACTGGCCTTTTGCACGGAGTGAGCTCAAGCACAGTACTTAGCTGCTTTCTGTAACAATCCATGAGGTCTTTTCTTGCCTATTTCCCTGCCTTCTGAGCAGTCAGGTGAGTTAGAGAAGCTAGTTTCTCTGGGACTTGTGCACATGTCTTTCTGAAGGAAGAGCGTGTCTGCTGCTGGTGTTCTGTGGTGTTCAAGATGTTCCAAGGCCCTCCTCTTCTCCACCTGGGATGGAGAAGTTGGATCACTGGTAGAAATCCCACCACTGTCATTGAATTAATGGGGCCTTTGTACAGGTGCCAGATGCAGAGCACAGTGGGGCAAGATGAGGCACCATAATCACAGAGCACGACCAGCCGATCTCTGTGAATTTTAGCGTGACCTAGCCATAACATGGGAACGAAGTAAACTCGGGATGAACCGGGGAGAGGAAGTGACTCGCCGAGGAGATAGTGGGTGCAGTGTTTATGTTGGACAGAACTCCTGAACTTGCCGGAGCCCCTTGGCAGCAAAGGAAGCCAGAGCAAGCGGTGTTTCCTGGTGTCAGGCACCATTTGGGGGAAGGGGAAAGGAGAAAAAGTTCCAGGCTTTGATGGTGAGACCCTGGCTGTCTGCAGCCTGAGTCACAGGTGCCTCTTCTTGGCTTGGGTATGCTGTTATGAGTCAGCGTGTGGGTCTGAAAGATGTTGGTGATAGGAAGGTGTTCATGGTTGTTTCAAAAGAGGAAACCGTACTGCTAGTTTGCCTTGGAGTATCTAATCCATATGCAACTAGACTTTGTAAGTTTAAGCACCAGGTGTTGATGGCTCTGCCTAGGCACCTTGCCTTCTTTTTGGCCTCCATCTCCTCAAGTATCTGCAAGGAAGGCATGGGAAGAGAACAGCAATCACCACCGTTTCTCAAAGCCTGGGTTCCTCAGTCTTGCATTGTTGACATGTGGGGCACCTTCGGATGTGGTCATCCTGGGCACCGTAAAATGAATATAGCAGCATTCCTGGCCTCTTCCTCCTACGTGCCTGACATCCACCCTTGGTGCTGTAACAACCAACAGTGTTCCCAGCCATGGTCAAATGTACCCCTAGGAGGCAAAAGTGCCCCCACTGAGAACACAGAGCTAAGCCTTGTTCTCCACATATAGCACAGCAGAGGGACTTAAGTTACTGCCATCAGGAACATCACCATCAAAGGGCACTGCCTGTGCGTGGCCTTGTGCCACCTGCTGTATGCGCCATATCTTGCTTCAACCACAGCCATCTGTGCAGTAGAGATTCTTAGCACTGCTGTGGAGGTGAGGAAAGTGAGGCGCAGAGAGGAGACGTAGCTTGCCAGGGGCACACGGCTAGGAGCTGGTGTCAGGTCACACTTTAATTTGATGCCTGTGTACGGTGCTGTTTGCAGAAACTCTGGTTGGGGCAACTGGAAATCTGGGCAGTTTGCTCTGTAGGTCGGTTCTCCCACACAGGGGTCTAGAATCACCTAATCAGTGGTTCTCATTGGAAATGGTTTGGCCCTCAGGAGACATTTACCAATGTCTGGAGATATCTTTGGTCATCACCGTGGGCTGCTCCTGGCATCTAGTAGGTAGAGGCCCGGGGTGCCATGCAGCCTCTTACAAGGCCCCACCACAGAGGATGATCAAGCCCCAAAAGTTGATGGTGTGGTGGAGGAGCCAGGTCTAGACCCCTGTCTTCCCTGTTGTTTAGGTGGTGATGCTGGACTTTGTGTGTACATTTAAAACAATCGGGTTGCGTGGGAGCCCATTCCAGTTGGAATAGAAATGACTTTAAAAACAAAAGTCTTAGCTCTTTGTGATCTTGCTTTTATCATTTAATAATTTTCCAGATGCTTTGAGTTCTCTTCTACTTTCTGTGCCCTTTGCCTCACAGTGAGGCCCCCTTCTTGCTTTTTATCTTTGGCCAAGTGTAAAAACATTGGCGCCTGCTGGGTGCACTTTGTACGCCATCTGTGGTGGGAAGCGGGCATCAGAGCGGAGGAGGGCCTTCCCTTTGCTTATTCATTCCTTCCGGCCTTCCCTTTAGGATGAATCCACTGGAGAAATCACATTTTACATGAAGGGGGCAGATGTCGTCATGGCTGGCATCGTGCAGTACAATGACTGGCTGGAGGAAGAGGTGAGCCTGACTCAGGGAGTTGGAATGGGGGTTGGGGGTGTGTTCTGAAGAGGCTGTGCCACGCATGGTATAGTAAGTGGGTCTCTGTCATCATGACCTGTGGCTGTGTTACCAACTATCCCAAAAATGAGCTGCTTTAAACAACACGCCTTATTTCTCAGGGTTTCTGTGGGGGGGCAGGTGCGGCTAAGTTGGGGTCTCTCCTTTAGGGCCTTCTGAATGTCACAGTCAGAATGTTGGGTGGCTGCATCTCATCTGAAGACTCGCCTGTGGCAGGGTCTGCTCCCAACCCCTCTGGGTACTCCAGGGCAGCATTCAGTTTTCAGGGCTGTGCGGCTGAGAGCTTCATTGCTGGCTGTTGGCTGGAGGCCACACCTCCTCCATGCCATGTGGGCCTCTTCTTGGGCTGTGTACAACCTGGCAATTGACATCAAGGCAGCAGGGGAGGGCAAGCAGGATGGAAATCGCTGGCTTTGGTAGCCTAATTCTGGAAGTGACCAGCTCACAGTGGGGAGCGGGGCAGGGGGTGGTTGTGCAAGGAGTTTCAGGCATTTGAGATAACTGGAGGCCACAAGTCCCAGTGTGTGACACAAACCATTGGCCAGGAGGGAGGATTGCTCATATTTACCTGGCCGTTTTTGCCTTATCACTCAGCTCCAAGAGGAGAATTCATATTCTACTTCGAACATGGGGGCTGCAAACCAAGTGCCTTGTAGGACCAGGCAGGGGACACAGCTGTGTGACACAGTCCTGGGGTGTTTTTCTGACAGGCAAACCCCTGGCTTGTTAAAGTCACTCCACACCTGTGTTTTGGAGTACCGTTGAGTACTCATCTCCTGGGCTGTGGGCATCTGAAAAGTATACCGGCTTTTGTCAGCTACTATTTTCCACCCAGCTCGTCAGCCATTTTTGTGTGTGAAATCTTGCAACTTTGACTTAGATTTCAGATCATCTCCTGCACTAGGCAGGGCTCCCTGGCTGCACCTCAGCACCTTCCACATAAAAGCCTGACTTCGGGGACAGGAGCTTAAGGGGAAAGCAGTTTTCTGTCTTCCCTTGTCCCCTGGGAAGGGGCCTGTGCACTTCAGTGTCCAGTCCCTGGACAGCAGGGGTCAAGAGTCTTGGGGCCAGAGCCTCAGTGTGACTCCTGCTGATCCTGGTCTGCTTTGCAGTGTGGCAACATGGCCCGAGAAGGGCTACGGGTACTAGTGGTGGCAAAGAAGTCTCTAGCAGAGGAACAGTACCAGGACTTCGAGGTAAGTTGTCTGTCATTCTCGTCATTCTTGTAGCCATGCCCACCTCCCCAGCCATGTCTCCTATGGGAGCCTTCTTGCTCTTTCCACACTAGCTGTGCTGACGTCAGTGTTTCTGAGTGCACCAGCTTCTCTGTTGTTGAGGGGCCTTTGCACTTGCTGTTCTCTCCTCCTGGAACTCACTTGCCCCCTCCCTACCTTCAAATTCTACCTCTTCTATGAAGTCTTCCTGGATCACCTGTCATGTTCTACCCATCACACTCATCACCATCTCTAAAGTCCTTGTTTGTATTTTTAACACATATCTCACCCATCTCTTCTGTGGAATAAGATCTTTTTGAAGGCAGGGACTTGGTCGGTCTGGTTTGCACATGTGTCCCTTTGCTCAAGAAAGCCCTGGGCAGATGGTACACCTTCTGGGAAATTTGGACTGCATTCCCCTCTTAGAGCCCGATTGTTCTAAGCTATAAAATGCTGGAGTTGAGTGAGGTCCCCTCTTGTCTTCTCTTGTCCCATAGACTGAACCCCCAACAAAAGATCTGACTCACTGCCCTAACCCCAAAGTGTCTGGCCCAAGGCTGATGGGCATGAGTGCAGAGAGGGGCCAGGTCTTGGGGACAGGCTTCTTGGAGGGTCCTCGCCCTGTTCCACAGGGTAACTGACTTGGGTCTGTCTGTGATGTGTTTGTGTCTTTGTGAGCCTGATTTAACTGTGGTTCTTCCCCTGAGATAAGTGTCATCTGCAGCTAAGGGTTATGAGCCCCTTGAGGGGATTTTTGCTTTTCTCCCAGGTTTGATGACAAACCTGAGAAAGGTTAGGTTGGGTCGATGGTCTTCAGAAGTGAGGCTCGACGTTAGAAACAGTTATGATTGCAAAGCACATGCTATGTGCAGGGGGACCTACTGCGCTCTGAGATCTTGGGTTGTTCTCATTCTCAACACAACCCAGGGAGGTTGGAGCTGTTACTGTGAATTTGTGGATGAGCAAATGCTGCTCAGAGAGGCTAAGTGACTTTCTGGCCAGCCCCCAGCAGGTGAGTGGAGAGTGAAGGGAGGAGCCCAGGTCTGGCCAACTCCGTGTCTGGACCGATGAGCTCAGGAGGCTAAAGCCCATCTGCTGGGGTCCCTCGGCCTGTGCGGTGGGATTCACAGAGCTGGCCCTACCTCTCCCAACCTAAGTGGTGATTGACATGTCCCTGGTGTACCCCAGGCCCGCTATGTCCAGGCCAAGCTGAGCGTGTATGACCGCTCCCTCAAAGTGGCCACCGTGATCGAGAGCCTGGAGATGGAGATGGAGCTGCTGTGCCTAACAGGCGTGGAGGACCAGCTGCAGGCAGACGTGCGGCCCACGCTGGAGACACTGCGCAATGCCGGCATCAAGGTAGATTGGCTGGTTAACGCAGAGAAACTAAAGCAGATACCTTAAAGCAACTGAGGCCAATAGGAAAAGGGGACCAGGAACTAGAGAAAAGGTGAGATCAAAAAGAATTAACCTAGAAGGTAACACCCACGCACAGGAAATCAATATGCATCAATGCCCTGTATAGCTATCCTTATCTCAACCAGCAAAAACCCTTGTTCCTTCCTATTATTGCTTATACTCTCTCTACAACAAAATTAGAGATAAGGGCAAAATAGTTTCTGCTGGGTATTGAGGGGGGGAGCGGGAGGGGGTGGAGTGGGTGGTAAGGGAGGGGGTGGGGGCAGGGGGGAGAAATGAACCAAGCCTTGTATGCACATATGAATAATAAAAGAAAAATGAAAAAAAAAAAAAAAAAAAAAAAAAAAAGGAGCTTCCTGGGCTGTCAGTGTGGCTCAAGTGGTAGAATGCCTGCTTAGCCTGTGTTCAAATCCTAGTACTACCAGCAATAAATAAATAAATAGATACAAAATAATAATGGAGCTTCCAGGCCAAACTCAAAAAAAAAAAAAAAAGGTAGATTGGCTGGGACAGGGCGCTTCTGCACAGCACAGCACAGCACAGAACTGCTGCAGGGAAAAGTTAGGGTGGAATAAGCACGAGGGTCCAGAGCGCACCTCCAGGACAGGTGACCACCATTATTTCTGTCCTTGCAGCCCTGACTTTGGAAGACCTCCTGTGTGCTGTTTGCTTTTCCTGGCTGCCTCCCTAATTTGCTGGGCTCCCTGAAGGCTGGGGCTACGCATGTGTTCTGGTCACCCAATGTCACTTGGTGTCCAGCATGATGGGCTACACTTTATATTCTAGTCCAGGTACTAGGCAGTGCTGAGGGTCTCTTGGTCTGGGCAAGTGAGGCCGGGACCAACCACCCAACAGAGGCCTTGGAGCTAACAGACTGCAGTCTTCCCATTGCCTTGTTGCCATCTTGGGGGGGATACCCAGTAGTTAAATCTCCCTCCTTCCCTGCCTCCCTCCCTTTCTCCCTTCCTCCCTCCTTCCCTCCTTCCCTCTCTCCCCAGGGCCCTACACTTGAGTCACTCCGCAGCCCGGGTTTGTGTTGGTTGTTTTTTGAGATACAGTCTCGTGAATTATTTGTCCAGGTTGGCTTTGAACCTCGATCCTCCTGATCTCTGTCTCCTGAGTAGCTAGGATTACAGACGTGGCTACGGCACCCTACTTGCTGTTTTTTATGCGACTGGCAGTGCAGGTTTGTTAAGAGCAGTGTCCGCACACACACAACATTATTATTTTACTGTGATATTAAATTTACTACGAGTTCACTATGAGATAGGAGTGTTTCAGCTCCACACTGTAATCATCCCAGGCCACTGCCTGTCACTGAACAGGGTGTCATGTTGTGGCCCAGGCTGTATTTGCAAACTCAGTGCTCAAAGCGCCTGAAGACCCCCGTTTGCCACCCTCCTTGGCCCACAAGCAGCTAGGGCTGTGACTTGGGGGTCACCGAAGAGTTCTAACAAAACCAGTAATAGCCTGTGAACTCCAGGTGGCATCCAGGCCCATGGCGACTCAGGTGGTGTACATTTGTTTCCTGTGGACCAGGTCTTGATGTGCACCTCCACTCCCAGGGCCACATCACAAGGAACATGCCAGCAGGATCCTGTGTTTGGAGTGCTGTGGCAGGAGGTCTGTTTATGTGTGCTGTGGCATTTAAGGGGGCGCTGGCAGTTTTGATGCAGTCCTGCTCGGCGTCCAGCTGTGCTTAGGCCTCTCCCCTCCTTGGCCCTCTCAGCCTGTCCTAGCCCAGGAACACGTGTTTTGTTTACACAGTGTAGACAGGACATCTCTGCCCAGCACCCCTGTAGGATGTGAGGGAGGGGAGTGGGGCCAGGGCTGTGTAGCTCTAGAAAGGTCTAAGATGCTATGTTTCACAGGCCTGGGAGGTGATAGGTCTCAATCATTTTCTACTTGGCCTTTTTGACAGATGCAGAAACATAGGTGAGGGAGATGGTCACACTCCCCAGGCGCTCACCCTGGGAAGTGGCACAGCTGACACTAGAACTGTGGTGTGGGAACATGTGTCCCCATGTTTCCCCCATGAGACACACTGGCTGCATGGCACTCTTCATAACTCTGTCCATGGCTTTTCAGAACATGAGCCTCCCAGCTTATTCCCTGGTGCCTGTTCTCTTATACTGAACCCTGAGAAACAGCACTAAGCTAGGATCGCCATAGAGAATATTGCTTTTTGGGGGACAGGGTCTCACTGTGTATCCCAGGCTGGTCTGGAACTTGTGATCCTCCTGCCTCAGCCTCCCAAGTGCTGGGATTACAGGTGTACACCACCATGCCTGGCTCCATGTTTTTTCCTTTTGTGGCATGACTAGGGCTTGAACTCAGGGCTTCACATCTGTTTTTCTGTTTATTGGTCAGTTTTGGTAACTTGGGCTTCTTGTTAGCCAGTCTGGTTGCAAGGGCAGTGTCCTGTTATGGCATAAGCTGAGATGAAGAATGAAGGTGACCAAACTCTGACAACACTGCGTAACTGTGTGCACTCCAGGTGTCTCACACAGTGTGATAAACACACAGCTGAGCCTGCCTGCCTCATGCCCATTCATCTGTGTTCCCTGGGCAGATGGGAGCTCCTATGCTGCCGGGTTTCTCTCTCTATCTCTCTCTCTTCCCCCTTCCCTCTGTCCCTCTGTGTCTCCCTCCCTCTCCCTCCCCCTCCCTGTAGCCCAGGCTGGTCTCAAACTTGAGCTCCTCCTGCCGCAGCTTCCCAAGTGCTGGGATTACAGGTGGACCACCCCTACCCAGCTGAGACTATTGCTTTGAAGGCCAGATAGAGACCGACATGGAGGGAAAGCACTGACATACACCAGGGTCCAACTGGACTAATGCCCCAGTCTCATCCCCAGGGAGCCAGGCCTCCTCCTGGCCATCTCCTGGCCCTTGGCAAGTGGCTCACTGTGCAGTGCGGCCTCTCTCCTGCAAGGTTACCTTGGAGGGGCCGTGCACTCGATCGGGCTGCCCGGGTGGGTGCCTGGCCCACAGTGAACCTGGGAAGCTCTTGGGAGTTTCTTCCTGTGCTTCCTCTGCACCCAGACTTCCTCTGTGAGATGAGTCTGGACCCCTCCCTCTGGGAGTGAAGAGGACTGAGGGTTAATGAGGTGTGGCAGCACAGCAGGATGTGCGGGCCGTGTGGACCTGGAGGACTCCGGCCTAGGCAGGTCACTTGCCCTGTGTGTAGGCTCACAGCGGTGCAGTGCAGAATGATCTGATCTGGTAGTTACTTCCAGCATCTCACAGGTGGAGAGTCTGTCCTGAGCATCTGCCAATAGGGAAAGACTGGAGGGACACAGAAGTGACCCTTCATGTATGCAGGTGTTCCCTTCTCTCATGCTAGTTACTGCTTTACGGAAAGTTCCCAGCAAGGGAATTATGAGGTCCAGAGACTGGAGCTCATGGTATCCCCTGAGCCTGTGGCCAGCTGCCTCTTTTTAAAGCATCTCATCAGCTTTTGCTGCCACCAGCAATATCTCCTCTGGGCCTCGAAGCCTCTGCTGGGCCCTTCTTGGGGAGCGTGGGGATACCGTGGGTCTCGAGGTGGATGGGGCATAGCAAGTTTAGCTTGGTGTTCTTGGGAGCTCATTTGCTCTCGATGCCTTAAAACCTGACACACGGAGCCCTTCTTTCCTGTCGTAATTTCAGGTTTGGATGCTGACTGGGGACAAGCTGGAGACGGCTACATGCACGGCCAAGAATGCACATTTGGTGACCAGAAACCAAGACATCCACATATTTCAGCTGGTAAGGTGTTCATTCTCTGCATTGAGGCCACATGGGTGTGATGCTAGGGTTGTACTATAACCATGTCACCTTGAATGGGGGACCCTAAAGTGGGGAAGGAAGCCTGTGGTCCCCCTAAGACCAGGTGGGTTTGCCCAGGGCAGGTGAAAGGAAAGGAGTCCTGTGCGTGGTGTTCAGGAGCTTGAGGCTCCCACCGGGTTCTTTCCCTGTTGAGTGCTGTAATCCCTTTGAGAGTCAGTCATCAGCTGCTGTTGTATCATGTGTGGAGCACAGTGCATAGTGCCTGTGTCACTGAGAGGAAGTTGTTCACCTGCTCCTGCCTGGCCCTGGTGCCTGCTCTCTTGTGCTCCAGCTGTTCTGCTGAGGCAAGCCAGTGGACCTTTCCACCTCAGTTTCTCTAAGTGCACAATAGAGCTGTCGTGGTTTCACATCTTGGAGGATCTTGAAAATCAACATGAAAAGCTCATCAGAAGCTTTGTCCAGTGCCTGGCAGGGCGTCATTTTTAGTCTGGGGGAAGTGGAAGGTGATGGTTGGTACAAAGGCTCTCTGATCCTCATTCCCTCAGAATCTAGCAAACAGGGTTCCATTTGGCTCTGGACAGATGGTAGGGGAGGGAAGGGTCTGGGGCTTGGTCTGGGGTGGCCATTGTCTTCTGGGGGCCTCAGGAAGCCCCTCCAGAGAGTAAGACATTTTCCACGTCTCTCTCTCCTTCTAGGTAACCAATCGTGGGGGGGCCCATCTCGAGCTGAACGCCTTCCGCAGGAAGCATGACTGTGCCTTGGTCATCTCTGGAGACTCCCTGGAGGTGGGCATGAGACCTTGCCATCTGACCAGGCCCTCCCAGGAGCCAGAGCCTCTTCCTGCTGTGGGCTGGGAGCTGACCTTGGCTGACCCACCCCTTCCGCTGCAACACCCCTAGGTTTGCCTCAAATACTATGAATATGAGTTCATGGAGCTGGCCTGCCAGTGCCCAGCTGTGGTCTGCTGCCGCTGTGCCCCCACCCAGAAAGCCCAGATCGTGCGTCTGCTCCAGGAGCGCACTGGAAAGCTCACCTGTGCAGTAGGTAAGCCCACCTGAGTGGTGGGTAAACTCACCTGTGTGGTTTATAGCTGCCACCCTGGGCCCTGCTCTGATGCCCTGGGTTTAGTTTCCCTGAGGAAAATTGGATTCTATGCTGGTCAGATTCTCTGGGACCACTTTAATCAGGCCATGATTTTCCTTTCCCGTCCATGGACCCTGACTATTCCTTGTTATTATATTTAGTATTGCCTTTGAGTCCAAGGGCTTCTCCTCCTTTGCTGGTGGGACAGAGTTACGGCATTCCAGAGAGTGAAGATCACATGCTACATGTGGATTTGGGTTCATACTTCTTCACTGCTGTTTACTGGCTAGGTGCCCCAGGTGGCTCCCTTCACCTGCCCGGGGCTTGGTTGATTTGCTTCCCACCTCCTCCTGGGTGTGGAGGAGGACAGGAAGCAGTCCCACTGAGGAAGCGCTAGCCTCGGGGCTCTGTGAACATTCAGGACAAGCCCTGCTAGTTGCTGCTGGCAGTAATGCACACAGAGCCTTGGGAGGGTGGGCGGTGATTGTAAATGTCACGTGGGCATGTGCACAGGGCTGCTACCCTGGAGTGCCACCTGGTCTCTGACTTTGACAACTCTCCTGTGAAATGGTTGGACAGATGGGGCTGACAGGTGGGCTGGTACTCGGTACTCACTGAGCGAGAGGAGGGGTGTGGGTTATTATTGCTGTCATGAAGAGGTGGGGAGCTGCCGCCCTGACCTTTGTCTGTGGACCTGTAGGTGATGGAGGCAATGACGTCAGCATGATTCAGGAAGCGGACTGTGGCGTGGGAGTGGAAGGAAAGGTGAGTGAGTCTCTTGTCTCCTCAAAGACGGCTTTAGTGCATCTGCAGGTTCTAGGTAGGAGTCAGCACCAGGGATCTTGTGTCCCCTTGAGGTCAGAGGTCCAGCTTGCAGACAGATTTCCTTGCCAATCCTTAATTTTTTTTTAAAAGAGTTTTTCTGGGTTCTTGGGGTACAGTGAATATGCCACCAGCTTTTCCCTGGTAGTCAGCCTGTCAGTAAAAGCATCAGTTGTTCTGTCACATGCTGTTCTCACTGGCGTTGTGGGAGAATTAGGCGTGGCTCCCCTTTACTGAAGAGGCCTCGGCAGCAACAGTTTTAAAAGTTTCTGTGTTACAGTTTTTCTTCCTGTCTCTCCTTGCCAACTGCGCTCGCCTCTTACAGTTCTCTCTGCCCTTTTTCGTTTGTGATCGCTAGAGGACTATGGGCAAGAAGATAGATCACCAGGTTTGTTACAGCTGTGTGTAGAGTAGGGGCACTGAAGCCCTGAGTGAGGACCGGGGATGCTCTTCTGTCCGTTTGGCTCACTTACGGGCTTTCTCTCTTCTTTCCCTGCTTTCTCTTTGGATCTTAGCCAGATGGTGATTGTTTGAAGTTATGGAGGCAAATGGTTTTTGAGTGAGACATTGTCTAAAATCTGTAGCTTCCTTAAACATAGGGTTTTTTTTTTTTTGGGTGGGACCAGGGTTTGAACTCACAGCTTTGTGCTTACAAACCAGGTGCTCTACTGCTTGAGCCACACCTCCAGTCCATTTTTCTCTGGTTATTTTGGAGATAGGGGTCTCTCAAATTATTTGCATGGGCTGGCCTCAAATCGTGACTCCCTCAGCCCCAACCTCAGACTCTCAAGTAGCTAGGATTGTAAGTGTGAGCCACCATACCCAGCTAACAGGTTTCAAGAAGCACGCTTGAGTTCAAGAGAATTCTTCACAAATTCCTACATAGAACTAAAATATTTCCCTTTTGTTAAAAATTATTTCCTGACTCCTCGTTTCTCAGGGCATAAAAGTTCTTAGTACTCGTACAAAAAAAAATTATTGAAAACTTAAGTTCATCCTTTCTTTTAGCTGCATCAAACCAGTTACACTGGGTATTCTTCCAAATGCTTTTCTGTATATTTTACTGGCATTTGTGACATTCACCGCATACATACTTTACACGTGTGTATGTATTCTTTTTGTGTGTAATTTTATTTACGTATTTTATTTATGGTACTAGGGTTTGAACTCAGGGCCTACACCTTGAGTTACTCCATCAGCCTTTTTTTGTGATGGATTTTTTTTAAAGATAGGGTCTCATGAACTATTTGCCTGAGCTGGCTTTGAACCCCGATCCTCCTGATCTCTGCTTCCTGAGTAGCTAGGATTACAGGCATGGCCACTGGCGCCAGGCTTCATTTATAATTTCAAATTAAAAACATAGTGTGCATTTCATCATGCAGCTTGCTCACATCTGTTACATCTAGGATTTCTTTCTACATCAGAGAGTGTACAGCCATCACTTAGATTTTATTTTGAAAAATGCCAAACGTTCAGGAACTTCTCGATAGAACAGTGAGCATCCACCTCCCCTTCCTTCTGGTTACCAGTTAACGTTTTGCCTCATCTCCTTCTCTCTCTCTGAACAAGACAGAAGTTCATCACACACCACAGTGTTATCCTAAATACTTCAGCATGGGCCTCAGCGTCTCCCCCAGATGTTGCACTGATACAGTGATACTACAGAATATTCATGGTCACAGTTGCTCAATTATCCTCAAAATGTCTTTGTAGCTTAAAAAATATGTTCCAGGAACAATCCAGTCACAAATTTCATTATTAGCTTGTTTCTGTGTCTTTAATCTTCTCTAATGGGAAACACTTTCCCCCACTTTGCTTGTTTTTATCTTCAAGGCAAGGGACAGCTATAGAGTGTCCCACGGGGACTGTTGACCAGATTGATCTGCATTAGACTCTGGTGTGAGTGTCACAAAGGGGACGTTGGTGTTCTCCCTACAGTGTCACATCACAAGATGCCAGTGTCCATCTGTCCCATTATTGGTGTCAACGCCTGCCTGTAGAAAGAGGGAATTCTGTTCCACAGTCCACTCCCACGAACGTGCAGTGCTGCATGCTCAGGCCCATCCCTGTGTACTGTCCTTAGCAGCAGGCCTCTTCCTCCCGTGTTCAACCTGGAGGGCCGGATGTTATAGAATACCTATGGCTGAATGATTCTTTGCTTCTGATATACATTATGAGAGACCAGACCCTCAAGGCTCACTACCAGATTCATTTGACCTCCAAATTATAACTATCTGTGATTTAGTATGTTTTTTATTTAAATTCCTCTTTTTAAATCAAATTTAGACTTAGACCACCAACTGCGTGTAGCTTGAAACCAAAGAATCTCTTTATTGAATTTCTTCAAAGATCTCCTTACCATGTCTTGTTTTTTCAATTAAAAAAAAAAAAAAAAAACACTGTGCTTGGATTGACCTCTTGTGCTTCTGACGATGCCCAATTCTGTCGGATTTTAGGAAGGAAAGCAGGCTTCACTGGCTGCAGACTTCTCCATCACTCAGTTTAAGCACCTCGGCCGCTTACTCATGGTGCACGGACGCAACAGCTACAAGCGCTCGGCCGCCCTCAGCCAGTTTGTGATCCACCGGAGCCTCTGCATCAGCACCATGCAGGTGGGGAGCGGGGTGGGGCAGCAGGGCCTCTGCCCAGGTTCACATGGGCACAGCACATGGGCAGGCAGGCAGCCAGGGCCTCTGTCCAGACGTACGTGGACACAGCCTGCAGGTGGTGCCTCTTCCCAGGTGCACGTGGGCACAGTGTACAGGTTGGGTGGGCAGCTGGTGCTTTTGCCCACTTTCACATGGGCACAGCATACAGGCAGGAAGGCAGCCAGGGTCTCTGCCCAGGTGCATGTGGAAACAGCACATAGGTGAGCAGGCAGCTAGGTCCTCTGCCCAGATGCACGTGGTCACAGCGTGCAGGTGGGTGGGTACCTGACCCTGTTGTCCAGGTGCACATGTCTATGTGGTTATCACAGAAAAGGTCTAAGAGTCAGACCTTGCTTTGGAGCTGTCACCCCACCTGGCCACGCTCCATCTGACAGCCCTAGAACAAGACTACTCCTCCCTCCAGCGGTGTGGCTTGGATGCGAGTGTTAGCAGTGCTGTCCCCAGTGCTTGGTGTGGAGACTAGCCATGGGGTGGAAATGAAGGAAGGGATCTGTTATCATCAGTTTGCCAGCATGGAAGTCACAGAGTTTGACATGAACGAACGCTCTGGCCTGATTTTCACGTGTGCAGAGGCAAGGGAACAGGGAGCAGCCCCGAAAAGAAGGAGAACTTGCTGAGTGTCGGCAAAGGGTTTATCTTCTATGCTTCTCAACAGCCCAAGCCCCTTTTACAGATGGAAAGGCAGGTACACCTGAAGCCTGCAGGTAGCATTTGTGCCCTCACTGTGAAAGGGCTGAAGTTCTTCCTGTCATGGAGTCAGCATGTTCCCTGGCCCAGTGTTGTCCTGTTCGCAGTTCCTGGAGAGCCCAGCTGGGGGTGGAGCTCAGTTTGGGTGGTTAGTCCTTGGGGAGCTGGTGTCTCGCTCCATTCTGCTTTCACAAAGGATTATGGGGATACTCCCCAGCCCTCTCACCAGCTCCTTCAACCAGCCTGTGTGTCTGTCATCAGGCTGTCATGGTGCAGTGTGGTAGGAGGGAGGCTGAAGGGAGGAGAGAAGATGCTTGCATGTTGGAAAGCCGTAGGCGGGCGCTTCTCCTGGAACCCCACAGAAAGAAGGCCCCAGAGTGAGGAAGCTCTGGTGCAGTGGTGAGAACAGATGACTGCTGGACCCTGGACCCATGGATCTGTGAGCGCCACAATGGGCCAGTGAGGCCAGGAGCAAGTCACTTCAACCAGGCCTCAGTCTTTCTACTGTCACATGGGGGTGCTTAGGATCAACTTGTCCTTAAGCTCGGCCACTTTGCAAACCAGAGTTTTGTGAGGCGCTCATGCTGGTGGCATGCTCATCATTCACAAAGCGAGGTGGGACAGGATACACATGTAGAGGCCATTTTCCTTTGAGGGAAGGCCTGTGGTCATACGTGCAAGGCAGTCTGCTTGGCGGAGCGAGCAGGTGGACATGAGAATTCACCTCCGCTGGCTGTCCAGGCTGTCAGTGCGGGGGTGGGAGGGTGCTAGGGTCTGATATCTAATGCATCTGTGAGTGGAGCCTTAAGGTGATTGTCATCGGTATGAGTTAAAGCTGAGCAGCTGGTGCAGCTCATCAGCCCACATCTGCACTTTCAATTTATGTTAATCCATCATGGGGCCGGTAATGCTGCAACTTCAATCCTTGGGAGGCAAATGAACCCATCCTTGGGTGAGCACATGAAAGTCGGCCTCGTGAGCTGCCTGGGAAAGGCCTGGACGTGTCCATTAGTGTCCATTCACAAAGAAGGTTCCAGGGTGAGGCATCCTTCCTTGAGCTGTGGACAATGCTTTCACCCCATCAGCTGTGCTGAAAGTCTCACAGTGGCACCTGGATGTTGATCTCAGCTCACTGGGACTTGGTGTTTTTATTTTCCCTAAAGCACTCTTGTTCCAAGGGTGGCTTTCTGGTCAGCCTAGCCCTTTTAGGAGAAGGGGCTCCTGATACCAAACGACCACTGCTGTTCTATGCTACAGTCCAGTGGGCGTGAGAAGTCACTAAAAGGGGGCTGTCCCTGTGCTGAGATTTTGAACACATACAGGGGAGCCGGGCCTTCTCGTGGGCATGGCATGCCGTAGCACCTGGTTCTGAGCTGTGGCCAGGCAAGCGAGGGTTCTCTGCCCACCTTCGCTCTCTGACCGCCACAAGTGCTGGGGTTTATGCAGTGTCTGGTTGCTGCTGCTTAGTTCTTAAAAAGCCTCCAGGCCATGCCTGTCCTCACTTTCCCTTGGTTTTACACAAGTGGACACGACCTTGGGGACCCATCTTTCTGTTAGCCCATAGACACCTGGAGAAGGGACAGATGGGGAGCATGGAGCCTACTTTGACCTCCCCACCTGGTCCTCATGACCAGTAGCTAGCATTTTCCAAGCCAGAAAGCAGACATTTCAGTCACAGGGTTTGCAAGTATCTGAATGTGTAATGTGAGAAGTAAAGCTTGTCTTCCATCCACACACCAATGTGCTTGTTGGGTGCCCTCCAGGAGAGGCAGTGGCTCTCAGCTGTTAGCAGGGGTTTTGCAACAGGCCTGGGCTTGAGTCCCGAGGGGCCCTTCCCTGCCCATGGGTGACTTCAGAACTCATGCAAAGCCTTCCCCGCTCCTCCAGCGTGTGGCACTTCGTGTTCGCAGAAGGGCTGAGTGTGGCCACGGGATAGACTACTTTGCTCTGACTCCTGGCTTCATCATGTGTGAGCTGCGTGGTCCTGGGCCTCGAGGTCTTTCCTCACTCCTATAATGGGGATAATGTAATAGTGCCCACTTCACAGGGCTCACACTCGTAAGGCACGTGTAACACATGGTGCTGCTGTGTTGTGAGTGCTGGGTACGTGGAAGATGCCGTTTTGTTCTATGAATAAAAGGACTTTGCCATGACACTTGGTGATGTCCACCTCTCTCCTTGGCACAGGCCGTCTTCTCCAGTGTCTTCTACTTTGCCTCTGTTCCTCTCTACCAAGGATTCCTGATCATTGGGTAAGGAAATCCAAGGTACTGATGTTTTATGAGCTGTCCCTAAAATGCCATAGAGGGAGAAGAAACATTGTTATCGGCTTTTCAGTCCCCAGGGTTTAGACCCTCCTCGAATTAGTGAGGCTTTGAACTGTTAGGCCCACAAGCAGATGGGGGGAGGGCTGTGTGCCACAGCCCCTGGCCTTGGAACCAGTGAGGACCATGTTACCCTCACCGTTAGCCTGAGGTTCTCCTGCTGGGGACCAGATGAGAGACTGCCAACTCAGTGATCCACTGAGTGAGTCACACAGAGAAGGGAAGGGTCTGTAAAGCGCTCTCCTGACTGTGGCTGAGCCCGGGAGAGTGTCGGAGCTCCAGAGAGGCCAGAGTCTGTTTTCCTAGGGTGTTGTGTGTACAGCTTCCCACTGGGCACCACAAGGACAGGAGGGGTGTCCCTTGGACATTTGCTGTCACCAAATCCACCCCCAATCTTGGCCTGGAACTTCCTAGTGTTTCTTTGACATTTACTGAGAGCACCTAGGCTTTGAAGTACTCAGGCAGGTGGAGCTTGGTACGTAGGACCGACTCCTGCTTACGAAGCAAATAGACTGGCCAGCTTGGCAGAGTGTCTTTACGGAGTCCTCTCACCTCCCACTGTGTTCTGCTGGTTAATTTAGCCTGATGGTCTGCAGTGGACTCTACCTGCTTCTACTAGGAAAAATGGAATGTCCTTTGTCATGGCTTGGCAGAGTAAAAGAACATACTAGATTATGGTCCAGGGGTCTCTGAGCTATGCTCCATGTGGCCGTCTTCCCCCATCCCCCTCAGCTCCAGCCACACTGGCTCCTCATTTTACCTTAGGACAGCTACAGCCTTATGTCTGGGCTTTTGCACTGGCTGTTGCTTCTACCTGGTATGCTCTTCCTCCAGGTGTTGGCATGGCCACTCCTCTTCCCGATGTCCCATGCCTTGGCTACCCTGAGATCGAATTCTAACGCCACGTGTGTGTGCATGCACATACACACACACTCTTAGTCGCTCCTCCCCATTATACTTTCCTCCTTAGCACTTCTCTGTAGCACACATACAGCTTACTTAATTTATTTGTTTAGTGTCTCCAGTGCTTAAGGCTGGATCTGGTACTTAGAAGCACTCAGGTGTTGAACCAGTGTTGGCAGTGGGGCTCCCAAGGCTGCCATGTCCACTGGAAGGTCTCACATGTACCTATCTTCTCTCTTAGGTACTCTACCATCTACACCATGTTCCCTGTGTTCTCTCTGGTTTTGGACAAAGATGTCAAGTCAGAAGTGGCCATGCTGTACCCCGAGCTCTACAAGGACCTCCTCAAGGTTCCACAGATCTTCCCTGTTCCCCCTTCCCGCCCTCCTTCCCTTGGTCTCCTTCCTTCCTTCTCTCCCTGCCCCCTGTCTGTCTTCTGTCCCTCCCTACTCTTTTCCCTTTTATTTACACAGATTCCTATCTGATTGGAACACATTTGCTGAATGGCTTTCTTGCTTTTGAGGGGATAGGCCTGGGAGTTTCATACTTTTTCTTAAAGCAGTAACAAATGCCATGTGAAGACTGAGAAACAGCACAGTAACCTGCAAACTGGAAATCACAACTTTAGAAAACCCTGGCGGCCCCATTTTGAGCTGCACCCTGTGTCCACCCTACAATTGGTCTTGTGCACTCATGCAGAATGTGCGGGTGCTGGGTGCAGGGTGCAGGTGCCTGGTTTCCTTTGCTTGTCTTCAGAGTCTTTTTTTCTAAAAGGCAGACTTATTCCCATCTGCTGTGGTTGGTTTTCCTGTATTCAGATCAAGCTCCCTTGTGGATGAGTCTGTGCTTACCAAAAGCTAGATGGGAAGTGATTGTACCCGAGCCACATGTGGTAACCTGATCTCACTTTTCTGTCTCTCCCTTAGGGACGGCCGTTGTCATACAAGACATTCTTAATCTGGGTTTTAATTAGCATCTATCAAGGTAAGGACCGGGGCTGCCTGGCTGTCTTATGCTCTGACATTGACCCTGGGGAGCCCCTTAGCTACCTGTAGAATGTGAAAAGAGAAACAGGAAGCTCGGATAGCATAGGGTGTGTGATAGCCTGGCCAAGACATCCTGCTCTGTGTGTCACAGGACTCAGCAGTACGCACAGGGAAAAGCAAAAAAGAAAAAAAAGCCCCAAGTAATCAAAAGCACTTCTAGCCCTCACCCTACAAGGGTACAGATTGAAACCTACGGAGGTGTTGGCTCCATGTAACAGGAATTGGCTGCTGCCTCACTGAGAGTTAGGTCAAGTCCTAGTTCTTGGGAAACTTACCTTCTGTCAGCGACCACCCGGGAGGGTCCATAGACTGCAGGGGTTCATAAATTGACTATTGAAGTGTAAGAAGAAAATATTCAGACTTATGTTTTGTTCACTTCTGCCTTGCTTCTTTCAGAGTTTCTATTTTTATGTGTCTTATAGTTCACATAATATATTTGTGCAGTCCTCCTAATGTCTCCATGGACATATGTTTAGCAGGACATACGTATTTATGAAAAAACATGTATATTTAGGGTGTTACTCTTTTTTCTTTTTGGTGGGACTGGGCTTTGAACTCAGGGCTTTGTGCTTGCAAATCAGGTGCTCTCCCACTTGAGCCACGCCTCCAGTCCATTTTACTCTGGTTATTTTGAAGATGGGGTCTCATGGACTATTTGCCTGGTCTGGCTTCTAATTGCATTCCTCCAAATCTCAGCCTCCCACGTAGCTAGAATGACAGGTGTGAGCCACTGACACCCGGCTGGGGGTTTTATTCTTTAATGCCTTTACCAGTGGACGGGGCAAAGTCCAGAGGCCATTGAGTTTGTTGACAGAGGGGTAAGTTGTCTTGGAAAGATAATCGGGAGTTGGTAAGAAATATATCAAAGTGTAACACGTGCACCTAGCTTCAGTGATATGCCAGGTCCTGTGTTCTGTCCCCTCCACCCTCGCTCCTGCTTATCAAGTTAGGGGTCCTGGTGTTTAGTGTTCCCAACTGCCCCTCGGAGTGGTGTCTTTAATCTTGGCAAGCAGGCTCGGCTCCGTCCCTAGGTGCTTTGGCCCTGTGCTCTTCTCTTCAGCACAACTGAGGAATTCTGTTCTTCCCCTCCGGTCCTTATCATTTGCATGTGTCCCGGTGTGTGTGTGCCTGCATGTGGTAGGAAACACATGGCATAACGCCAACTGCTTTGACCTTTCTGTGCGTCCACTGTAGTACTCATCCCTTTTCCATCTTGCAAATCTGAAACCTCGACTCCACGGAACACCACCTGCCCTCTCCCAGTGCCTGCCATTCCTTTCCGTCCCTGAATGTCTTTGGGCACCTCCTGTAAGCGGAATCCTATAGTATTTGGCTGGTTGCCACCATCATTGTTATTTAAATTTCTGTTCCTTCCACTGTCTCCAGCTGTTCGTGCACACTGGTCCCCTTTCTCTCTGGCTTTTTGCTCTTTCCTTCCCTCCACCTCCTTTTTTCTTTCTCTGTTGTTAGAGATTATTTATAAGGTCACAGAGGATGATAGGAAAGCTGTAGGGTTGAGACCTCAGTAAAACACCACTCGCCAGCCTCCTTTGACAAGTGCATGCTTTCGTGTCTAAATGAAAAACCCGCGGACTCAGATGTGGGCCTGGCCCACTGCAGGGGACATGTTTCCTGTCACTTCCAGGGAGCACCATCATGTACGGGGCGCTGCTGCTGTTTGAGTCTGAGTTTGTGCACATCGTGGCCATCTCCTTCACCTCCCTGATCCTCACCGAGCTACTCATGGTGGCGCTGACCATCCAGACATGGCACTGGCTCATGACGGTGGCTGAGTTGCTCAGCCTGGCCTGCTACATCGCCTCTCTGGTGTTCTTACACGAGTTCATCGGTAAGACCCTCTTCCCCTAGTACTCAAGGCTGGGTGCCTTGGCCTGCCTGGTCTCCCACTCAGCTGCCCAAGCTTGCTCCGTGTTCCCTCAGGACAAGTGGCAGCTGTGAATCAGCGTGTGATATTGAGGGTGCAGGGTGGTGTGTTTTATTTTGCAGTGCTGGTAAGAACCCAGGGGGCTTGTTCATGGTGGATAGACCATCTACCACTGAGCTCTAGCCCTAGTCCAGGAGTATGCTTTTAAAACTACACAGAACTGGCCAGCTTACTGGGGAACCTTTAATTCAGCAGGTTCAGTAGCTGCTGCTAATTCAACCAACCTTGAATCCAAAATACTTGCAGAGAGTTGCATCTGTACTAAATGTGATCGGATTTCTTTCTTGTCATTCTCTCCTACACAATAGAGGATAATAACTATTTGCATACCATTTTACCCTGTTGGGTGTTACCTTTAGGAGACCTACAGGAGGATGTGTGTAGGCTCTACACATGTGTGACCCCATTTTACACAAGGGACTTAATTGAGCGTCCTAGGATTTCATTGTCCCGAGAGCCTGGAGCCTGGAACCAGCCTCCCCCAGGTCCTGAGGGCTGACCATAGGTACTGGGTCTCTCCAGTCAGTCTTGCTGTATTGGGGAGATCACATCCAAGTCTGACTACAACAAATAAGAAGTGCCTGGAAATGCAGAGAGACAGAAGTGGCTTCTCCAGTCCCATGCCCATGCCAGACTTTCAGACTTTTTGTTTGCGTTTTTTTGCAACAATACCCCTTTGTTCCTGTGAAATCTCCACCAGATGTCCACTCTATAAAACCAGTAGGTGTGGGTGTGCTCTGGTGAAATGGCAGAGCCAGATCCTTGCCTGTTTGGTCCCTTCTGCCACATCGTCCCGACTTTGCTGCTAAGGAGACTCAGGGGAGCTCAGAATGAAATCTGCTCTGTGCAGCCAACCCGAGAAGTGACAGATTCTACCAGCAGTGGTCATCGTCCATTCAGCAGGAGTTCCTGTCCTGTACCAGGAAGACAGGCCCAGCTAGGTGGGAAGGATCTTGGAGTGTCCCTTCATGACAGGAAGGGAACACACACACGCACACACGCGGATGTGAGTTTGTGACACAGGGGTGGCAGATCTGGCCAAAGCTACAAAGAGACAAAACCAGAGTGAGATGAGGGAAACCCAGGCAGCTCCCAAATAAAGCACCACGGAAGTTTACAGACAGGGGATTATACCCTACCTGGGGGTGAGCACCGGGTGCTGATTCCTCTGGCCACAGCAGGGATTCCTGGCACTCCCAAGTGTGAGCATTGCCAGCCCCTTGTCTAGGGAACATGGCCGGACTGTTGCTCCTTTACATTGACCCCTCATGTGCTGTATGACATCACCACAGGTTAGCCAGTCCTGACCACCATGGTGGGGCCAAGTCCCTGTACCAGGAAAACCCCTGTGCCATGCAGGCCCTGCCATCGCTGGTCCCTTGTGCTGACCTGTGCTCCGTCCAGAGCCAGTTCAGAGGCCGTTTCTAGCTCAGCTTCATGCCCTTCCAGGACAGGCACACAGGGCTCTGATGACCCAGCTTTTTCTACCTTGGCTGAGACTTCAATCTTGGTTTACCCAGCCCAGGACAGTCAAGCCTCTGAGCTGTGAAACTTCTAGGCCCAGGGACATCATCTTGAAAGGCCAGCTAGGTGGCAGATGGTGGCCCTTCTTGTTTGTTCTTCAGAAAGGGTTTTGTGAACACCTACTGGGTGATGAAGCATTGGGATGCACTCCCTGCTGAGGGATCCTTGACATGGAGACACCCCAGGGTGGGAAATGGGTATGGGGGATCCATATGGGGGTTAGCCAGGGCTGGCCTGTGTTTAACCGAGGATAGCTGTGCTTCGGCACCCTGTGCCCAGGGCAGGCAAGTGGGTCATTCCTGCATCTGCTGTGCTGAGAATCACAGTCTGTCTCTTCTCTTTCTCTAACTTGTCACTCCTGGTTTATAGTCCCCAGCTGGGAGAGAGTGTCAGAGTCCCCCTGACAAGGTGGTCTCTGCCCACCTTGTGCCATGCTGCAGGACCCTCTTGTGGCTTTTCATGTGCGTTGCTGAGACTGGACAGTGGCTGGAGGCAGAGCCGTACTTCTACATGTCTCTTTCTGCTCTCCTGTGGCTGGGTTTGGAAAGAATCTCCAACCGTCAGATTCGGAATGAAAAACACTTGCAGGGATGCCACAGCTTTCTTTTCCTGGTTGTGGAAAATGAACATGAGGAGGACCCAGTAGCAGCTAGTCAGAGAGAAGGGAGCACAAGGACATCAGGCTGACAGGAGCCACCTTCCCCTTTGATAACGGGTGTACATCTTCGTGAACATTCCTGCTTGCTCACTGCTGTCTTCCTGTCCCTTGCAGATGTGTACTTCATTGCCACCTTGTCGTTCCTGTGGAAAGTCTCTGTCATCACCCTGGTCAGCTGTCTCCCCCTGTACGTCCTCAAGTACCTGCGCAGACGGTTCTCCCCACCCAGCTACTCCAAGCTCACGTCATAGGCTGTGCTCGCCAGAGGGGACCGTGGTCTCTGCGCTTTCCTGGTGGACAGAGTTCACGTTCCATTTGTGTTCACCGCCACCTATGGACCTTGCGGGAATTGCTGACATGAGGAGTCATGGTGTGTTGAGGCACTGTCTGATGGGGTCCTGACACTGAAGAAACGAGGGAGGGTCCTGAGAGGGGCCAGGTGCCCGTGGGAACCCTGGGTATGGTGTGGGATGCGTGGGGTTGGGCGGGGAGTGGATGTGGGTCACTGTGCAAGCTTCCTTATGACTTGAATTTTGTTGCCATGTGATAAAAGTTTCTGTCCAGCTGAAGGTTGTAGAGGGCTTTTTTTTTTTTTTCCTATCACATGTGTGTTCTAAGTCTTTCTTGCTCTTAAAAGGAGATTTTAGAAAGATGTAAAGCTCTGGGGATAGGTTTGGGAGGAAAAGACAGTGATGATACTGGGTAAAAAAGTTACAGATAGTAACGTCCAGGGGGAGGGCTACCTGTGCTAAGGCTGCCGTCATGCTTGTCCAAGCCACACTGGACCCTGGGATTATTTATGAAGAGGAAGTAAGAGGAGAGAGGTTTTTGATCCCCACCACCTTGTAAAGAATTCCAGAGGTGCGATCCTGCTTTCAGGAGCTGGTGACGTGACAAAGGCAGCGGCTGTCTGCACACACCCTCCAACACTTTCAGCAGAGTTGTTGTAGCAGGAAACGTGCCACTGAACAGCCCCTAAATGTGTCGACAGTGTGATAAGAGGCTCTGCTGATTCTTTAGACAACGTGGCAGCTGTGACTCAGATCCTCTGAGGCCGGAGTGGAGAGGTCAGGGCGCTGGGCGCTTCGTTTCCCTGGCAGCCTGCTTCCTGTTAGGAGCGATTATCGGGGATGGGTCATCTCAGTGGCAGCCTTCAAAACAGAAGCCCTGGGGGAGGAGGCCCGGGCTGCAGCCCAGGACCTTGAATTTGTCCCCTATCTTGCACTGCAGCCCAGGACCTCAAATCCATCTCCTGCCTGCAGGATTCAAGGGATTCCTCTTGGCCAGCCAGGACAGACTGCAGGCATGTGTTTCCTATAAAGCTGTGCCAGCTGCTTTCAGAAGGAGAAGGGACGTGGCAGGCAGTGGACCAGCAGAACAGGGCAGTGTTGGGTTTTCAAGATGCTTCTTGCAGATGCCACGTATCGGGCCAGAGGATTAAGTTATTGGATCTGCGAGAATGTGCTTGTGCTTACTGCTTGAATTTGTGTTCAGTCCTCCACCTGACAGAACTTGTGCGTACTTCAGAGATGCAGTCACTCCTGGTTCTGATGTCTGCCGCCTTCCCTAGTAAAACCTGCTCTCGGAGAGCTGGGGACTCGAGGACCAGACGGTCCCTTAACTTTGGAGTTCTTAGCACTCTTTTGTATTTTGTGTGGCCCCTTTTAAACTTTCCAGAAATCCAGATCGTTGCAGATAGATTGGCTGTGGACGTCACTCCTCTTTTCAGATTCTGTAGTTTTGCAATATTTCTGTAATTCCAATTCAGCCATTTCTGATGAGCAAAACCATCTATAGTCAGGATGGATTGCATTGTACGAGTGGAGTTTTAGGAACAGGATCTTTGTCCAAAAATTTCAGAAAGGTGGAACAAGTCTGATGTCTCCATTGGGTGGCTTTATGTGATTTCAAATGTAGAAAAAGAAATTTTTGCTTTTATTTTTGTGATACTGGGGATTGAACCCAAGACCTCATGCATGCCAGGCAAGCTCTCTTACCACTTGAACCACACTCTCAGTTTTTAAGATAGGCTCTCACTAATTTTTTGTCCCAGCTGGTCTTGAACTCATGATCCTCCTGCCTCCACCTTCTAAATAGCTGGGGTTACAGGTGTGCACCACCATGGCTGGCCTCCTCATTGTTTTTGAGCCTGTTTTCTCAGAAGTCAGCCTGCAAAACAGGAAAGTTTTAAGATAGTTGCACACTGAGTTCCCAATCCCGAGCCGAACCTCATTCAGAGATAGTTCTTGTGGGCCAGTTACATGGAACCCCTTTGAGGGACTGTGGACGATCCCTGAGCTCTCTGGTCTTTCCCCTGATTCCCAAGTTTGACAGTCAATACTGAAGATTGACTTGCCACCTCAGAGGAAGGAAGCCTGTGAGAGAGGCTGAAAGGCAGAACCTGGGAGTCAGAGGAGCCAGCAGAGTCCTCTGTGCCCCCCTGTTCTGTTGTCTCTGCTACACATCAGTGGAGGGAATCGAGGGAAAGGAGGACTGAAACCCACGTGGAAGCTGCTGTGCTGTGGGCCCATCCTGGAGTCATCAGTCTGTTGACAGCCCTCAGGGGGCCCTGAGCCCTGGGGATGTACAAACTCGATGTCCCACACACTCCAGAAAACACAGGCAAAGAGCACACGACCCTTCCTGCACAAATGGGGCTGACTAGAACGTATGAACGCTTGTGCACATCAAGGACTTAGTTATCTTAGTTGTAAAAGAAGATCAGAAAGCCAGCGAGGGACCTAAGCTGTTGCTTGACACTCCTGGGCGTGTGAACCTTACGCCTAAGAATTCCACTGACCTTTTCCTTGTCCGTCAATCTGGAAAGGACTCCGGTAAAGCACCACTGACACCTGCACTCAAACCCAGTGGGACCCGTGTCTCCAGCAGTCCACTTAATTTGAGGTCAGAGGGCATCGGGCACAGTCACCCCCATTTCCTTAAAGTAGAAATCAGCTCCCGGTACCCTCTGACAACAGTAGCTATTTCTGTCCGAGTGAGAACTTCAATTATTATTTTATTAAAGCTTGGAGATGGCGGTGGGGTGGGGAGAGCAGGATTCATTGGGTTTCTCTTTTTTGCCTTCGTCCCCTTTTCTTGTTCTTTCTCTAAGAAGGTGACCAGACACACATATCCATTGATAGCTGTGATCCTAATTTTAAGACCGCACCGGTGTGTGCATTGCTGTGATGCTGGGTGGCACAGGCATCCTAGGGGCATCTCAAACTGGAGCAAACACCTGCTTCCGGCCACCCAAAGCTGATGGGCCATGAGCTGGGATCACTGCACTCTTACTGTCAGTCCCTTGCTGCCCCTTACTGTGCCCTGCTCGGTCACAGTAATGTTAAATGACATCATCCATTTACCAACACTTTGTGTGTAGGCTCTGCTGAAAATTAAGTTGTACTAACAATGCTTTTTAGTGTATTTTGAATCTTGTGCTCACTGGAAACTGACACGTGAATACCTGTCTTTTTTCTGCAGCCTTTGCCTCGTTTGTACTGGGGTTGGGATATGCATGTGCATGTGCTTTTATGGGCAGTCTTTTAAACTTTTGCAAAATTTCAAATGTGATCGACACATTCTTCTGCTCCATCCTATTTTAAGCAGACACCAATCAGCCATTTTTATCTTTTAACGTTTTTGTGTTTTTGAAAGTGTGTGTCTATGATGTCATCTCAAGTTTTTTGAAGAAACAATTTTGGTTTTCATTGCATTAAAGTTTCACCACTCCCAGCTCTGTTCTCATTTTAAAAACATATGCGGAGCTTTGTAAATACATTTTATTTCTCCCACTTCCTTTTAATGTAAAGCTTTTTGTTGTTTACATGTACTTGAAAAGTTGCATTAATTATGTCTGTTTCTTCTTGGAGAAAAAAGTTGATTAGGTTTTGGGGCGGAAGTGAAATGTGCTCCGAGCCTGTGGGCAGTGTCTCTCCCACGTGGATCTCCTGTTACCTGCTCTTGCCCATAGATCTGTCCCCACCTGCTCCCAGCACCTTCTGTGACCAGAGCAGGGCAGTGCCCCTGAATGTGCTCTTGGTGGCTGAGGTTGGAGTGGGCAGAGCCTGAAATTTGCAGACAAAACAGACCACATGACTATTCTGTGGCAGTGGGCTGACCTGACCCTGAGTTGCAGGAGCCCGGGAGGTTGTCATCAGCAGATCGCTCTATATGTGGCCCTCATGCACCTGTTCACTAGGACAGGACAGCGCTTGTTCATTAGTAGGCAGGCGTTCTGTTGCGGGATGCTTTGGTTTATTTAGCAGGAATGTACAGATAATTCAAATTCACAATTCCATGACGACACACACAGTCGCCTATGTTGCCAGGCAATTCCCCTTTCATTGTCGCCCAGTGTGGCCTGTGGCTGTTGCCCAATAAACTGCTATAGTTTCTGCCTTTGGAGATCGTTTACATTTGTACGGTAACATGAATTCTGGTGGTGAAGTGTGGACTTTTATTATGGTGGTCCTCTTGTGTGCTTGTCTCATGGTATTTAAAATGTAAAGAACCTTTTCCAGTGAAACATTTTTTATTTCAGTGAAAAAACCCAAATTATTGCATGTTATTTCTTACCTGTACTGCTGTCCATCCTGGAGAAGTCAGAAACACAAAAGTGCTGGATATAAATGGAGAAAGAGGCTAAAGATGTAAGATTCGCCCTGTATTCATGCATCTATGAAGACTACACAAGCTCTCTGTGTATTCGACAGCTGGGAACCTGAGTTTAAGACTGCATGCATTGCTATGAGACAGGCATCCCGGGGGCACCTTAAGTTGGAGCAAACCTGTTTGCTAGACCTTGAGATCTTTTTTTCTTTTTTAAACAAGGTATGGAAGATTTAGGAATGCAGCCACTTATTTTTTAATTTTTAGGCAAAAAAAAAAGTTTATAAGCAAGGAATACAGTGTTTTATTAACTTAATCCAACCACTTCAACAACAGGTGATTTTTGTTCCCTTGGGCCATGTGGCATTATCTGGGGACACTTGTGATTGCTACAACCGGACAGTTGGAGGTCAGGAGTGCTGCTGGACACCCTGCAAGGTATGGGGCAGCCCCACATCAAAGACTTACCCGACCAAAATGGCCAAGGCACAGAGATGGCATGCTCCTCATTTAACGGGCATAAGCCAGTCTATGTTGTCCATCTGCATTTGTGACACGGCCCCATAGTATAAACTGAGGATGTCAGGAAACAAACTGTGCCTGCAGCTGGCCAATGGTTTAGTTAGTGACGTGGGCTGCC